GAGTAAATTTCCAAAAGCCAACTCACATTACTCAACTCATACCTTCGGCTCTCTTTTCTATTTATGAAGCTTTTAACATTTTTTAGCAATTCTTCATTAGACATTTAAGCTAGACATATATGAGCTATATTGAATTATCTGAGTCTTTCGAGTGAACTTGTGGCTGAGAGAGAATATGTTGCCAAAATTTAACCAATCCAAACCAATCAACAGCTTTCGAGCTCTGTTCATTAAAGTTGATATATTTATCTTAGTGCTTTTATAAGATAATCTTTGACTCAACACCCCTACCACTGCCACTTAAAATGCGAATAAATACGAAAAAAGACATTTTGAGCGTTTATAGTTTGTACATCTAACTTGTAAGATTCAAACTATGTCATCACTTAGTGTTGTTGACAGGCAGAAATGCCTTTTACTATTGAAAAGACAGGTTTATATTTCTTGGATAGTTAACACTTTACAGATGTAGAAGATATCTCATTAGTTGATTAAGGTTAACAATATTCAATGTAGTTTTTGACTTGGAAAATAACAGTATTTCGTTGGCCATTTCCTGAACCATTTTTGGTGGTTACAACCAGAATCTGGTTTGCAAAGCGAAATTTATATTATAAACAACAACATTTTAAGGTTGATGGAAAAAACCTTCAATAAAACCTAACACCAACCAGGCAATGGCGGCTACAGATCTTTTAGCTTTGCACTTAAAATGAAACCTTGATTTTATTTATCATTTTAATTTTATTTGGAATTTTGATTAAAATTTTTAATTTTGACTCTATTTTAGATCGTCTTTATTTGTATTCATTCCGATTAAGACGAACAATTAGATTTAGAAGTGTAATTGGACTAATTATTTAGATTGGCCGTTCTTGAGTTGAAAGCTAGGAATCTTGCAATCCATGATGGTAGCGCCATTATCATAACGAAAATTTTCATTCCACGAAGTTGAATCTACTTTTGGACCCTCCCACAGTTCCTTATGGATTAGAAAATGAATTAAAATACGAAAAATACAATAATTTTGTTTCTTATACGTATTAAATTACTATGAGCTCTTAAAACGCTAATAATTTTGGTGGAAAATCTGAAGCTATTAATTTTTAGACCAAGTATTGACATTAACAACGAAAATGTAATTGAAATATTGAATGTAAAGTAAACATGTTTCATTAAAGATAAGGATTAACATTAACACTGTGCACACATTAGCAATGTGCCCATTTCATATCACACGAAGTGTTTCGACCTTGATATACGCGCTAAAATAACGCCTATATTTGGGATTATGCATTAAAATTGCAGTTATTTTTTTTCAAAAGCGATAAAAAGCTGTGTGGATTGCTTAACGACATTTAAAAACAAATGATCGTCTCTTTGCTTGTCTTTGCGTGGCTTCAACCATTCGTCTCCTTCGGGATTGTAAAATTAAAGCTGCTTATTTTTCAGACTATTTATTGGCCTTAAAAATGAAAATTTAATTGAAATATAGAATGCAAAGTAAACATGTTTCTTTAGGGATAAACATTAACATAAGCACAGAACACACATTAGCCATTGGCGCAAATCTTATCACACGGGTGTTTTGACCTTGATATACGCGCTAAACAAACGCTTATATTTGTTATAATCAAAATCAAATGCAATCATTTTATATCAAAAAGAGATATACAAAGCTGCGCAGATTGCTTGACGACATTTCAAAACAAATAATCGCCTCTCTGCTAGTACTTGCGTGCTCTCAACCATATTTTTCTTTTCCGAATATGGAATTCCATCTGACAGATGCAATTTGTTCAAGACTTTTCACGTTACTGAGCAATGAATCAGAGCCTTTGTTAATTCGGACGGGGGTTGGGCTGGCTGTAAGTTTTGAATTTTTCAAATGATTCTTAGTTGCTTGGTTTTCAGGCTATGTATGGCATTTTGCATGATGGAGAAAAATATATAACTATTAAAAATAATACATGCGAAATGGATAACCGCCAGAAATGGGGGCCTGCTATACAAAAGACGGTAATTAATACAACGCAATTATAAAGGATACGCCTTTATTCCAATTAAAGAAAGGCCAAACATAGACCAGTTGGTTGTCAATGGATGGCAATACAGATGTGCCATCAACTTCTTGCCAAAGTATATTTACAAAACGGGAAAAAAGGGTATGCTAGCTAAATTAATAAATTTTTTTAAAAGAAAGTCATATATACATTTTATTTCGTTTTTAACAAATTATGTCCATTATATATTTCCTAACCTTTCCATATTTTTTAGGATTTGTTATACTGCATGCTTCTTATCCCTTCGTTAGATTGGCGAAAGGAAGCTATTCGATCAATGTTAGTATTTATTTTAAGGTCAATTATAATCTTGGCTTTGTAAGTCAATAATCAACCTGATTGAAATGCATGTACTGCATAATCATTGCAATATTTGCAAGTGTGTTCTATTAAATGTAAATTATCATTCACTTATGAGTTGAAAATTGCTGAATGCTTGAAAAAGAAATTTCTGACTTTTTTAGATTTGATGACAGAAACGACAACAAGCTGTGGTGAGTCACAAGTTGAATTAAATAACAATGAAAAGGATTAAACAAACTTTTTTCTTGAGCAATAATTTTGAATTTCCGTATTTTAAAAGAATAGAAAAATTGCTTACAGCTGTAATCTATACGACATCTAAATATTGAATAGAATATTTATTACATGCTGATACAAAATATACGTTAAATTAAGAGATCTATCAAACTTAAAATAAAAAAAATAAATTTGACATAATTTTAAAGGAATTATCTTTTAACTCTTGAATTTTACATAAATTGAATGTTGCTAAAATAATTGTTTTGATCTACTCTAAGACGAATCCAAACCAGAAAGCTACCATCAGCCTCTGATGATAGCATTGCAAATAACAAAAATTTATTCTCTGCGAATAAATTGAGAATGATTGAAGAGCAAATGGATTTTTGCACATGATCATGGGGTTTCAAGCAGATTTAATATACATTCTTGTCCTAACTTTGAGCTAAAATTCGTTAGGATTAATAACTGCGTTCACATAACCAATTGAAGGTTGAATATGGCAATTCTGTCGTTTTAAAGCTGATAGCAATAAGTAGTGGTGAGTCAGAATTAGAATTGATCTTATTACACGATCCGAACCATCTTTTTAAAATAGTATCATTGAAGTATTAAAATGGTTCTTGCAAGATGTTGTGAATTAGTTAAATGCTCATGGTATAAGCATATGAATTTAAAAAAAATTTCCTTTCTTGAAGAATTTTTCTCAAGATGCCTTCTTAAAATTAAGTTGTATAGGTCATATCATTGCTTATTCAAAGCTAAACTCTGAATAGTTTTTTTCAATTGTTCTAAAATTGGGCTCACATTCTTTTACATTACAAATAGGTTTTCAAATTGGATCGATTTTTCCAAGTAAGTTTCCGGTATGCAAAACATTTTAATTATCGATACATCGTTTCAACAATTTTATTGGCCTACTATTTACATTCATTCAGTTCTTCTTGGAATCGCATTGTGAATTACAAAATAATGTGACCTGATTCCCGTTGGTAACAGTAACTATACAATCCTTTTGAAACGAGATTTGCATTGGCTTACAAATAATTATTTCATTATCAAACCAATATTTATAGGAACTATAATATTTATTTATTTTTCTACATAAAATGGTCACGTTTTATTAGCCCTTAAGTTGACTTCAGGCTTTACAGAGGTAAAGAACATCAATATAAAAGATATTTGAGATTGTGGAGAAACGGAAGTGTTTCAAAGTAGAGGGTAGAATAAGTAGAAAATTGGTGAGGTGAGTACTGTGGAAGTAGCCGAATATGACATATTGTGGGATGGCGTTAGTATAAATTCTGAAGTCAACTTCCGGTTTATAAACTTTTTGCAGTGTGAATATACGTTGTCCTGGGTCCAGGTCCCTGAAAAATGTCCTAAGCTTCTAGATCATCACTCTCTTACAGTCCTGCAATTATGAATACTGTAAAAGCTGAATTATTTTGTCATCGAAAATTATAATAAATGAAATAACTAAGAACAAGAATACTTTCTCCAGACAGTATGAAGCACATACATTGATATTACCGATTTGTGAAAGTAGCATTCTATTCCATGGGAAAAGTGCATATTGTAACAATCGAACACAGATGTGCAAGTCGTACTTTTTTGTTTTCAGTAGAAAGGCACAATAGTAAGTTCTGACGAAAGCAATTATTGTATTAATTACCTTTAGGTAATTTGGGCTAAAAATTATTGAATTCGATAATGAAAATATTTCTCAATGGTAACTTAGGTACCTTGGCCATATTCAGTTGAATACTTCAGCAAGTTTATTAATGCGAGAATAATGATATTCATTTATGTAAAACTGTGGTCTTTTGGGTTGCTTTTTACAACATTAACCTTACTTTCAAGACTTTTAATTTCGATTAGGGCATAAATAGCCTGTTACAAAATTCACTCATACTTTGAATGACAATTAATTATATTTGCCTTTGTAATACTATAAACATGAAGATAGGCAAACTTTTAGATTCCCTTTAAATTAAAATTTGTTAGAGCAATTTTATGCATATTTGTTTGCTTTTTTATCTAAAAACTAACATAATTAACATGCTTTAGATTTTCAAAACCTTCATATAATTTATAATGTTTATTTATGTCAAATGGCAGGCGTTTTGATGTGTAGCGGATAACTACTTTTGAAAACCTTGACTAAACTCAGAAACCTCTACTATGGGTTCGCAGAAGAAGTAGACGTATGGCAGGAATACGTTTATTCGCTAGCTAAATCACGCTATTGTGTACACAGGAAGGAAACTCAGTCATACAATATGGCGGCTCGGTAAAACACGCGAGGGCCCTTGAGCTGCTATTGGCTACGTGCTCTTGTCCTCAATCCGTACGCGAGGTTGTTCAGCCACACATCAAGCCTATGAGAACACGCATGCGATGACGTGTCCTACATTACTCCCCCCCCCCCCCCCTAGAGCGTTTGTGGGTACCTAAAAGGAGAAAGAAAACGCTCGATTTAAGGACTGTGCATAGTCGGCCAGCCGAGAGGGGAAGGTAACTTTTCGTCCAGAGCGAGTGAAATAAGCTTGGGGTTGGAGGGGAGCAGGGGTGGAAGCTACAGGGGTCGGAGTGTCTTCGGGAAGAGGTGGTGGTGGTGGGGGAGACAAGGGTGGTATAGGAACTTCGGCTGTTGAGTTTGTAGGACCGGACGGATGATTCCTATCTGCGGGCTTTGGAATAGGGCACTCCACGTAAGCCGGCTTTAAACGGTCGATACTGACGGAGTCCTTGGTGCCGTTGCGGTCAAGAATGAAATATTTGGGTTTGCGTTTGAGGACCTTGTAAGGTCCTTCGTACGGTGGTTGTAGGGGTCTTTTAACTGAATCAACTCGAACGAAAACGAAGGGACTTGTAGATAAATCGTTATGGATATACACTGGCTTGGAATTCGAACGGGTTGGTGTTAGACGGACGGCTCTGAAATGGTCTTTTAATAGGGTAGAATAGGATAATGGGTCTACGGTAGCATGTTTATCTGAGTCCAAGAGATGGTTATCATTAGCCCTTTAGCTCACTTCAGGCCTCACAGAGTAAAAGGAACACCAAAATGAAAATAATTGTCGAGCGGGGGTAGAAACAGAAGTGTTTCATAGATATATATAGAAAAATGGTGATTTGAATACTGTGGAAGTAGTTGAAAATGGGATACAGAGGGGTGATGGATGTTTGAAGCCCGATTCAACTGCTGGTTTATAGCCTTTTTTGTGTATGAGTATACGTTACCCAGGGTGCACCACGTAGAGGTAAGTCTATCGGACACCCCAAATGTATAATATTAAACTTCAAACATATTTCAACTCTCTTTTAGGCACCAAAAGGCCTGCTGAGTGAATATAGGTATCTGAAATTACAGAGCTGTAAAAAGTGAATATTTATATGCTTAAAATAGTATTTCATGTTAAAGAACATTTTAGAAATGTGTTTATGTAATTTATTGGTCCACGTGCACAATAAAACTTAAAAACATATGAACTGTACAAGCCGATTGCACCCGTTTTGAGCAGATCAAGTGAATGACATTGCCCAACGGTTTGGGAAACGCGTGCAATAAGGAGGATATAGCGAATTTATATAATCAGTCCATTACATTAGGTTGCCATTTAATTGAATACTGAGGAAGGTTTTAAATGGGCTGCCTTTTTAGCTGTAAATTAAAATACCAGATTTAAAATCACGGAAACACAATATATTTTTGTTTTTTGGGGGGCCTTTCAATTTGTGTTCGTGTAGGCGAAGATGCAATCAATCATCATAAATTTCGTCACAAATTTGCTTTTATGGAGAAGGTTTAACTAGAATTCGCATTTGAACGCAACTTACGGTTTTCGTCCGGGCAATCGTCGCGTGCATATCCGTCAAATTGGGGAAAATATGATGCCTGCACTCCGAGCTGGAGAAAATGTGATTCTTATTTACCAAATGCACCACGACGAATAAAATTGCCTTATAATTAAATAGAATTGCTCTCTTAGAAAGTCATTGGATTGAAAATTATATATATATATATATATATATATATA